TTCAGCAGGTGGAAAGCGGAAAGTTATTACTCTTCAATAATCCTGGATATTTAACTCACTTTTCTGAGTAGGTCAGACACCAATCTGCTTGGTAAATGGATATTTTCATGTGGAAAAAAACAGTGCTTTTGCTTGGAAACTGTGTCTTAGTAATATTGTGATTCACAATTAATGTTACTTGAATTAATGATTCCCTTCTATAAGTTAAGTTTTTCCATCTATAGGCCTTTAGGCACTACTTCTCTAAGCAGCTTGGAATATCAGAGCTCTGAAATTACTAAGAAACTTTTTGTCACCTTTGTGAAGGCAAAACTGGCTTTAGGCACAAGCAAAGGTGGTAATGACCTAGCAAGAGGATCCCAGCAATGCACACCTATGACCTTACCAACTTGTCCTACAACTAAGCTTGGTGTGACTGTGGAGAAGAGGTGTGTGGGCATCTCCAAGAGCTCAAAGAGAAAGTTTCACCACTGATGCTTAGGATGAACTTTAAAAATGCTAGCAGAAAGGGGAATCTGATTACCACAATATGTTGAACTGGATCAATAAACCAAGCCACACCAAAAATAGACTGCAAAATTTTAAGAAAATAAGAAACATCAGTTTGATGTTCCCCTCTGCTCCATATATAGTTAGGAACCAGCATTTGGGATGCTGTATGAAAGAAGGTTTCCTTAAGCCAGTTTGCACTTCAAAGAAAGTGCAGAGAAGCATAGCCAGAGTTGTTCTACCTTGCTGTGAAGACATGCTCCAAGGTGTCATCAGAAGAGCAAAAAGACCTTTTCAATTCTTCATTGATAACATCACATAAGCTTTGCTTAATGTTTTCTGTTCTAATGGAGGACTTCATACAGAGAAAACAATATCAAGAGAGGGAGAAAACAAAATATTTCTGGTTTAATTTTATTTCAAATTTAATAATTTAAAATAACCCAAAGGGCAAATCTGCAACAATGACAACAAAAGGCTCTGTTTAGGTTAAAAGCATATGATTAGCAATCTTGGTGTTAGAAGTATTTTCAAAGCTTAATACGCCCATGGAAAGAGTAGTGGTATTCTGATATCAGCTGTTCTGCATAGTGATGATGTCTGAATTAATACTACTTTCAAAGCTGAGGCCTGCTTTGTGCAAATTAAAATGCACTGCATTTAGCTGCAAAGTTAACATGCCTCTTACAGTAATATTGCAAATTCCCAAACTGCTTTGCTGTAATATGGTGCAGTTACAGATTCTATAACCTCAATTGTGTCTCAGTGATTTAGGAAGTGCTATACATTAAATTAAATACCTAGGAGTTAAAAAGGAGAAGTTCACCACAGATGCAACCTAATTAACAAGCACCGAATTGATTTTATACTAATGTTTTAAAAAGAGATTTGTTTTCTTGTTTTCCATTTGACTGTTAATTTGTGTGATTTATTAAATGGTCTGTAGGTATCTCTTTCTGGGGAATGTAATTAATAATTAAGATAATTAACTTAATCAATTCAGAAATACCTTTCCTTGTATTACATTAAGAAAAGAATATACATCTTCTATCCTCAGTTTAGTATGCCTGTTTGCTGTATGATACCTTCACATGGTATTTCAAATTAAATCTGAGTTGGGGGGGGTGAGAGTGAGCAGGGGAGCTGTCTGCAGGTAGAATGTTCTTTTTGGTATGGTTGCATCTGTGAAGCTAAAGTCTTTAGCCAGAACATCTAAGATCATGAAAATTAGACTAATGTGATGAATGTTGTTGATTTCAATCGATTGCAGTATGCAGTCCAACCCACTCACAGAAAGTCATGAATAACAATTTAATTTAAATTGACAGGTGAGGCATTTGCTCAGCTTTGAACCAAGAATAATGAAGGTGGTTTGGTGTGTTGTCAGCCTTTGTAAGCTAGTTAGATATAGTCCAAAACTAGGAGAAAACAGACAAACAAAAAATCCCCTAACAATTTGGTAGACATTTAATGCCATATGGCCTGAAACTAATGGGTTTTTGTTCTATAACATCAGAACCTAACCAGAATATCTTCAGAGAGCTGTAGAAGTAAGCAGGGAGATAGAAAAAGAAATTTGCATAACAAGTTAAATAGATCTTAACCAGCAATTGAATTCAAGAGGGCAAGTGTTTTCTAATGAGTACTGCATCTTACTCTTCAAAGATCAGTGATTATCTTGCAGTGTTATTTCTCGTTGAGTTCACTTTGATGTTAAAACATGGTTGCAGTACATATCTACATGTGCATCTAGTTCTTTTTATTATCTATTGTGTCTTTTCTGATGAGGGATCTTAAAACTCTAAGAAATTAGAAGTGTGTTCTGGCTCCCCTCACACAGGAATGAGATAGGGGTGATAGGGGGAGAAAAAATCTTTTTAAAATTTTCCTTCTTAAGCATCTCCACAGGGGCAGAGCTTTCAAGAACTGGGTAGAGAATTTATCAACACATCATGCACAGCTAAAGCACAAATTGGATGCAAGAGCCTTATGCAAACATGTGTAAGTCCATGTGAGGTTAGTGTAACCAAAAAGAAAGTATTGGGGCACCCTCTCTTGCCTCTCAAACACATTACCTTTGAAACACTTGTTGTCCTACCCTGGAACACTTCAAAGCACACATGGAAATGTTCTGTCTGTTGCTATTGTCTGAAAGATGGCTGATGATATCCAGCTCATGAAGGGGAACTACCTCAAGGTAAGCCATGAGACAGGCCATGGCAAGAGCACTCCTTTAAGTCATAGAGCTCAGGGTCTGGATGTGCTGAGTTGCAGCAAATAGCAGTGACTGGTGTGCGTGTGGGATAGTGTTCATGTGAGCTAGATTTCAGAATTTGGGCATTTTTTGTTCTTGCACCATGAAACCAAGGATCAAGAAATGGAAACAAAACAGGTGAGTAAACAGGACCTTTTCTGTTTGTTTCTTCTTCAGGAAAATAAAGGAAAGTTTGGAGTGCTTCCCTGTTAAACTCAATAACTTGATCCACACACTTGTACAGATGTCAGTGACAAGTTCTGCAAAGCCTCCAGCTCCAGAGACTATTCCCCAGCAGTGGATGATGCTGGACACAGAGAAATCAATCGCAAGAGCCACCATTTTGGGGTTCACCAAAAAGTCGGACTATGTGTGTATGATGTTCTTTGCTTGCCCTCATTTGCCTTGGTCTTTAATGAGTCTTCTGTGAGCTCATATGCTCTCCCTCCTCATTTATTGAAGATCTGCTTGTGCCATATTAAAAGGATGGCAGGATGAACAGCAGTGCCATAAGCAATGAGCTACCAGAGAGCAAGAACACCAGGCAGCCAGCTATTAGCAAGGAGCCATTAAGGAGAACAGTTCATGCCCTATAGTGAAAAATAAATCAAGAGCTAATTAAAGCATCCAGAAGGAAAGCAGGGCACAAAATTAGGAAGCCTAATAGAAATCAGAGGCTGTTATATGGTGCTTTAATGGTGCATTATTAGTTTTCACACACTGCAGTGATCTTTCAGTGTTTGAGTTGTATGCTATCCAGGCAAGTTTCTCCTTCTGTGCAGCAAAGACTATAAATTACAAACTGAATTTTCTGGCACTTGACGCTACATTAAAGAAAGGCTTTTCTATGGTAAAATCACCCTATATTTTCTCCTGTACCGTGTCTCTCTGATGATTTCTCTTTTCTGCCTCTCCCTTTTCCCCAATACAGCTGTATCTAGTCCAGGTGGTGCAAACCTGCAACGTGGTCACTTTTGTGGAAAAATCATTTGACCAGTTCTCAAAACTTCACAGCCATCTTCAGAAGCAATTTCCATCACATGCCCTCCCAGAGTAAGACAGCATATTAATGAATGTTATTCTGCTAAGTGGTTCTCTCTGTGCACAGATGAAAATGTGAGAAAATGTATGGCAAACATATTTTTAGAAACACAAAGGCAACGTGACATATTCTATCAAGCCCTCTATTCAGACCCAGAAAAACCCAAGTCATAGACCATTGTCACTGTCTAACTTTTATATATTTTATTGTTCCTTTTTTTAATGAAAGGAGAAGGGGGAAACAGCTTGGGCCTGACACAGGTATTCCTAAAATCCAAGGGTAAGTGGTATTGGATTTATTTAAAGCCCAATAGGTTTTTTAATAGTTTCTAATTCTGCATGATGCTGATCAAATCTCATAGAAAAATACATGTATTAATGCAAGACAGGAATGCTCACACTGAGTAAGAACAGAAAAAGCCAATCTCTGACACTGCAACCTTTTTACAAAAAGATGCACATACTCCCCAACTGAGAAATAGGCCATAATCTTATGTACTGTCCTATCCCCAAAACCTGGTACTTTGTGCCTTGCACCATTCAGTATAATATCTCTTGAAAACTATGCTACCATTAGTTGCCATAATTCTGAATTATTATTTTTTTTTGCCCATGTGCATGTCTATTCCTGTTTTTCATATTTCTTCATAAATTATCTTATTTCTTCACAGTTTCCTGCAACAGTGAGTCCCATGGTTTATTTCTGTCTTGCGTAAAACAGTTTTGCCTTATGTAATTATTGTAATATTTGGTAACACAAGTGGAGTTATATATTCTACAAATATCATATACGTTGTACTGCATGCATCATAAAGAACAGAGTAGTCCTTTCTTAAACAGTCATGCTGACTTACCTGATACGAGCCCCTCTTCAAGTTCAGTCTGAAAAGACAAACGGTTGACTTGAACCAAGTTGAGATCCAAGTGATAAACTTGAAAAATAGAAAGGTGTTGGAGGTCTGACCTGAATAAATAACCACAAACAACATGGTTTTGGCTTAAGAAACAAAGTCCATGAATTTCAGATCCAGATTCCCGCAAGCTTGTGAGAGGCATTCAGTTAAATAACTTTAGGTTAGTTAATTCTGGAGAATCTTTCTCCTACCTGAGGGGATTTTAATTTACTCCAATCTGAGTCATTATGACTGACTGACATGAATTGGTTTGAAGCAGTTGGTGAGAATCAGAATTTCACTAAATACTGAAAGTATGGATCATGGTTTTCATTTGAGGTATTTGCACACTATTATGTTGTAAAAGAATATATCTAGCAAGTACTGTTCATGATTTTTTCCTGTGGTGAGCGGAGCCCTTTGAAGGAAAATATATTTCTCTTTAACCTCAGAAACCCTGTAGTGAATGTCAAAAATAGTACTATAGATTTTTCAGATTACCTTTAATAAAATCCCTCGCAACAATGTCACTGCAAAAGAGAGTTTCAGAACTCACAGAGGGATAATCTGTGTGTACTGTTGCTGTGTCTTAAGAGCTCCAGAGTTTTTTTGCTCCCAGCAGTAACCTGTCACTTTATGATCTTCCCCCGAGACTGTGTTAAAGCAATTCATTTTATGATGTTTCTTTATATGTGTGTTCTTCAATGTTAAAATTTTGGGTTGCTTTGTAATGAACTTTGTCAATTCAGGGCTTCTAATGTATTCCAGATTTTATCCTAATACTAAAACCCTAATTATTTATAGGAAGTTATCACTGAAACTGCTATACCATATCAGACAGTCTGCCATTGTGTTACAGATCTCCAGTTCTGGCTCGTGCCAGATGCTTCAAAGGAAGGAAAAAGCCTTGTTCCATAATACAACCACAAAATCAGTTTGAAAATTTATTATTTAAAAATAAAATGTCTAATATTACTAGCATAATTGGAACTGCTAACAGAAAGGACTTAATTACTGCTTTATATTGATTAATGAAATTGCATATATTAATGTCTCATTAGGAGAAAATAATACAACATGACGCTGCTTCATACAAGTGCTGAATACTGGCTGCATCACAAGAAACTGATGGCAAAAGCTTAAAGGTCTCAGCGTCTGGAATTTTGCTATTGACTTGTAAACATTCAACCCATATTTATAAGTCAAAACTCAGCTGCCCTAAGCAAGTCCTTGCACTCTAGCTCCTTCCCTCTCATTTGGTTTCAGACAGAGTATTAATTGTGCTTAACTACTAGGTTTTTTTTAAAAGGTCAAAAATCTTTTCACCAAGGAAAGCATTTAAGTGATATGATTTATATACAGAAGGTTCTTCAGAATAATAAGTAGGAAATGGCATCTGCTAACCAGGTTGTCTGCACATGGAGCAAGTTTCTATTTTTCTGATCTGCTCAAGGCAGATGCAAAGCTCAAAATCAGATTGGGAAATTAATCTTTTCTAACACAAGTGTGTTCACAAGTCAGTTTCAGCCACAGGTGCAATTCAGCAAAAGCATGAAGGCCTTTCAAAGAAGTGTTTGGTGTGGCACAAAGTTCATATTGTCCTTCACTGTGGCAGAGTTATTGGTGCTATCAATCAGTTTCTGTGTCCTCTGTTTGGCCACTGTGCTTAGGAGGCATCTTCTGAGGGCCTTCATTTTGCAGCCAGAGTCCTCTCTTTGTGTTATACAGTCTGATTAATTTTAAGCTGCTTCCAAACAGATCCTCCCTACCATCTCTTGAAAGAAGTCCTTTTTATGTCCCAGAGGGACTCAGACAATTCACAGGCTAGCTTTGTGTGCCAAATGACCTGGGCTCTATTTTTATCTGTGCAGCTCGCATATGTCATGATCTTGGGTCATATCACTAACCCCCCTCATTATGCATTCTGCAATGTCAATTTCATGAGGCAAGAACTGCCTCTTGCTCTTCACTTGTACAACTTAGTATTCACTTGCCTAACTGAGCCCTGACCTTCCAGTGCTACAGGCAAAAGTAATCAAAAGGTCACACATACATACAGTGGGCTGCTATCATCCCAGCCCACTGCTGTTTTAGCTGCAGACTGCATTCTACCAGTGCTGAGTTCTCCCTCAGAAGTATTACACAAGATGGGTGAAGATCTGTCTGCTTTGAAAAAGAATTACAGTATATTGTTAATCAGTATTCTCTTCATTAAAGGCCTCTATTACAAAACAAGCTTCAAAAAGCCCAACCCAACAGGTCTAATTACAGTTCATAAAATCTAATTACATTGAACCTCTTGGTAGCAAAAACAGTGGGTTAATCATCATCAGTCATTTTATTTTCACTAGGTGAGGCTGCTGTTCACCATTTTTACAGCTGGGTAGTTTGCAAAACTGGCCAGTGCTCCTCTCCAGGGAGGGGAATCCAGTGCTCCATATGCTGATATTTGGCTGGCTTTTGAAAAGCTGATGACATCTTATCACTGAGCTGTGGAATTGGGTAAAACCTGTTCAAAGTAGGATCTGACCAGCTGCCTTTCAAAAGGCTGGCCAAGTGTCTCTTTCCAGAATTTTGCACTGCTAGATGGGTCTTCAGCCATTTGTTTGAAGACTTCAGAGATTTCTTGAGATCTAGTGGATAAACATGGTTTTACCAAAAAAAAAAAAAAAAGGGAAAAAAAGGGAAAAAAAATTAAAAAGTTTTTTAAAAAGACACAGTTAATTCTTAACATGAAATACAGCCAGATCAAAACTTCTGCCTTTCTATATCACATAGATCAGAGGACATCAAGCATAATATTAGTTATGAGTCTCAATATTAGCAATCCATGTCATAAAACCCATTACATGCACTTTAGCAGAGACAGCTTTTCTAGTGCTCCTTCAACCCGAGAGTGAAATAGTCTTTATCAGGGCAAGGTTAATATAAATTGATTATGTGTAACATTAAAATTCTAACCTTTTGACTGATCTAATGTGCATTGTCTCTTAAACACATAGATGATTCAAGTAAGGAAAAAAAAAGTGGGCTTTAGATATTTTCAATCACCAAAGCATTTGAAAATTGACATAAGGACATTATATGCATATGTGGTTTATTTTCTAAACTGGAATGAAATTCATCTTAATAAAACTTCAGCAAGAACATTACTATTATATTGCTTTTGTTGGGACTGATTTTCTTATTGTGACGATCATTTGTTTTCATATATTACTTTTATTATACTAGTATCTGAAATTACATATGGGATCGGGGACGTGCTCTGAAAAACTTAACTGCACTCTAAATAGCCGAGGTAAAAAAGCAAGCAATGATAAATTCATAAAATGTCACATTGTTGCTGTAAGGCTTTGGTATTCATTAGGGTAAGGGTATAGCATAAGCCCTGAGCTGAGATCAGAGATTTGTTGTGCTGTGCACAGTGTTTTCCTGGGATCATAAAGGGCCAGTTTTTAAAGGTATTCAGATAGCATAAAATGCAAATAAGTATCCTTTAGGCTTTTTTTTTTTAATTACTTTTTAAAAATTAATTATTTAGACAGAAAAAGGGTACAGTGTGAAACAGACCAGTAAATTAGTAGAAGAACCAGAGTCAGAGGGTAAACAATACTCTCAATACTGTACCCATCCCTTTCACTACATGCAAAACCTCTTAGAAAGTGTTAGCTTTCTCCTGTTAAGTAAAGCTGGAAATATTTTCACAATTATATACAAGAATACAAGAATTATACTCACGAATATTCTTCTTTTGCAGGTTTCCCCACTCATCACATTTACCTTTTAGAGATCTTCAACATAAAAGAGTGAAGGATTTGAATCTCTATATGAAGCAGCTATTAAGTGGATCCAGGAAACTGGCTAATGTGAGCATTTCCCATATTTATTTTATTTGCATAAGACTTAGTAACATTGTACCAAAAGATCCAGGAAGCTTTCCATGGCCTCATTTGAAAAAAAAAATAAAAATAAAAGAATTACATAAATGACACAACTGTTTTGAGATGGAGTCATTGTAACATTCATCAGAACTTAAGACAAGAATGACTAGAAAATAGTTTATTAGACTTGGCAGGGCATTTTTCAAAAGAACTCTTCCTTTGCTGACATCGAAAAGCAGTGATTCACTGAATTTTGACAGTAAGGAGTAGGTTCTGAGGAATGCAATACATAAAAAAGGAGTAAGTTTTGAAACACTGAAAAGTCTGATTTTGACAGTTATATAATGAGAAGTTCCATTCTTTCAGCCCAGAAGTACTCTTCATTTCAAAATTCAGTTAACGTGTAGAAGAAATTGTTTTGCAACCATAAGACCAAACCCAGAATGTTTCAATATTATCAGAATGATACATTGTGTCCATTAAAATTGATAATTTCTCAGTTTTTAATCTATTTTTCTGAGGTTTGGTGTTCTCCCCCTCTTTCAAAATGGTGAGCTGAAAACGTAACAAACACTGACTATTAATTGTTTGGCCCCAGACGAAGCTTTATGCACCCCAGCATCATAAAAGCAGGACCAAGAGCAGCTAACAGGGCTTGTGCACCCCGGGAGGATGTTAAATTTTACACTGTGTCACTTTGAAAGTTGAATAGTCCATTACTGGTAGTGATAGTGGGGTCTGAGAGAGAGGAGCATCTTCCAGCCATTGTCTGGAAAGCTGTCTCAGACAGACAGGGAAAAACAGTATTTTACATTAGCCTCTAGGCTTACGGAGAGACTAGTCAATTCAAGGGTGTCTGAGCACAAACTCATGCATTGACCCTGCTGTTTCACTGTTGACACGTTCTGTAGCAGAGCTTGTGCCTCTGACAGGTGAGCTATGTCATGTCCTGTGGCCTCAGGGCCATAGCACAAACTGGGGCTGGTTTGTTTTAATAGTGTAGACAGTCTAGAATGCCAAAAGAGGCTCTGTTGGGATGTCTTTTTTTCTCCAAAATTTCAAATATCTTGGAGGAAGAAGAAATGTTTGCTGCCTAACTATATGACTTTCCCAGATGTGACTGTGTAATGGAGATTTAAGAGGAAATTGTCCATATGTAAAACAAACAAGAGTTTTCTTATTAACATGAGTATAAATTCTGTGCCCTGAGTTGAAACTGAGATTTCCAAAGAGGATAGATAGTGTCTGTCTCACAGTTAACATTTATCTTGGTATGGACAGCTGACTTAGGTGCTTGACTGCCTTGACTGACCTTGCCAAATAAAGTGCACAAGTTGGGGTTAATTGTGCAATTTCTGTCATTCGTGTTAGGGTCATGGGTTTATTTTACATTAGCACCTTTTGGTCACAGCTGAGAAAAAACTGACACAAGCCAGTGACCTAGAAATGAAGAGCTCTGTACCTTCTGCTGTGCTCTGGGCTGCTGTAAGGTACATGGATTTTCAATTTGGGCCAAGCACTGCTGTGTAAAAGCCTCATCTATGGTTGAAAAATTAAACTGCAGAAAGCCCTGGGATTGTAATAAAAACATTTCCTGTCACACCCAGAAGTTCTGTTCTCCCTCCTGCTCCGTCATCTGTGAATGGGCCAGTAATGAGCCAGAGCATGCTGCCTTGCCATGGGCCTTCTAATGCCTTTCCTCCTCCCTTTATGGTCCTGCACCCATGGAGCTGGGTGACTTCTCCAAGCATCTTGCTGCTGACACACCAGGACACAACCACAAACAGGGTATTCATAGGGAGCTGTGGACATATCTGGTTGGGGGCATGTGCTGTTGTGACTCTGAACCAGCCCCAGTGGGTCTGCTCAGACATGCTGAACTGTGCAGTGATTGAAAACTGTTCCAGTCTGGTACAGCCTCTAATGCTGAACCATGAGGAGAAGTAAACAATTTTGTGTCTGAGAGGGCTACCCAGCTGCTGGTGTGCTGGACTTGGGGGACACAATAATAAGTGGAGTAATAAGCAGATTGTTTCCCTCTGCAGAGTACTGTTGCACGTGGGAAATCATCTTGCTTACCACCATGCAGCTAACCTGCAATTCTAGATTATAACCTTTAAAGTTATTGATATCCATACAGATTGAACCATTATTTTTACTTCAATATGCTTCTCCTGCTGGGAGATATCAGAAATTTAACAAATACTGACGTGTTCTGACCCAGTTAGAATAAGGAGACCAGTCAGTGGGTAATTTCCTTTGTATTCCCAGCTGAAGGCTTCTTTTTTACTTTTCCCTTTGGTACAACTTTTTCAAAGATGTCATGGTGTCTTCTTGGCTTTACTCTGAGCAGAAAGAAGAGGCTTTCTTGATAAAAATAAATACAATTATTTTGTCTCTCTTTGTGACTTGGACAACTTTGCAGTCAAATTTGTCCTTTTTCTCAAATTGCTAGGGAGCCTGATGGAAACAATTCAGTGAGTTGTCTGTTTGCTAGCATTACCAAACTGTCATTCATGTGAAATAGTAAAACTATGTAGTAATAAATAATTAATTCAGAAATTTGTGAAGAAATATTGTAAGAGCAGATGCCTTTAAAACATTATTCCCTTTCTTTCTCATCTCAGTAATTTTCTTGTAGCTGTATTGGATGCTGGAGCATTGTCTGAGATGGAGAGAAAAGTATTTATTTAATTATAAAATGCCCTTGCTGTCCCCGTAAACACATTACCCTGATTAACTAGACTCCATTTCCAGCTCTGAAAAATTTAGTCCAGTCCACAAAGGACTGACTGCACACTTGGTTCTACCAATTAAGTAATGAAAAATCTTAGAAATAAAACAAGACTTGAATTATATCCAAATTCCTCCCTCAGTCATGCCTTAAGTGGATACTTTTTAGTCCAGACTAAATTTCGATTATGAAAATTGTGTTACAAATAAGAGTAGGTGATAATGTTACTGACCTTTTCTGCTAAATGGTTTAAACAAAGGATGAGAGGTGGAAAGTAGCTGCCTTCTCATTTTCACTGTAGCTCAGATGGAGTTAAATGTTTCTTTAAACCCTTCTTTAAAGAATAGAAACTTCAAGCCACCTTTCTCTGTATCTGAATTTCATTATCAGATCGAATAGATGCAGAAACATCAGCTGATGGAGATACTTGCTGTTGGACTGGTTTGAATGCTTAGATGTGCTAACATCCATCCCTATTCAAAGCAATTTTTAAGTTTGTGGTTTCAGTTGAGTATAAGCCTCATTCACTGACTTCCTCTCAGACATTTATTAGAGAGTTGCCTAGAACAGGAATGCTTTTCCTAAATTCAGGTTAAAACTCGGTTATAAATAACTATACCACCAGGCTCTAGATGTGAACAAGAAGCCATATTCATTACATCAGTCACTAAAATGCAGAGGTTGATGCACCTTCACTGTCATATTGAATCATTTAGGTCAGGATCAAAAACAGGTTTCAGAACCTTTTTTTAGTTTCATTCTACTCTCAAACCAGTGGCAATCTGTGTGATCACACCGTAAAAATATTTAGTTTTGTGCCAGTTGCCACATTGCTGACTGGTTCATCAGTCTTCTAGACTTCTTGACTTCTAGTCAAGGCAACATGCTCAACAATGTTTGGACTCCTGGAGTTTTGCTTCATTAAATGGTAAAACAACCAAGTGGTGCCACCAGTGAGAGGGGAAGCATCAGGAAAAGATAAATTGAAGGTTGGTAACACAGGAGAGGACAAAAATACACGTTATAAAGTATAAATCAAATCTGTGACAAAAAGCAACTGCTGCAGGCCACTTTTACATTTGTCTGTATTTCATGCTCAACTCCAACTGACTGATGAGTCAAATGGAGAGTGCAGCCCAAATCTCATAACATATTAGATATAGATGAGACCTAGTGTTTTGTCATTTTACTGCTGTATGTTAGGAGGGTTTTACACTCCCTGGGGACACAAAAGCAAGGTATGGTTCCATTAATTTAGTCTGCTCTTGGCCCTAGTGTCACGCAGCAGCGTTCACAACACTGAATGTCTTCATGTTTATCTTGAAAAGACAACTTGCATCTGGCTTGGGCATTGCAAGGAAAAAAAAATCTAAAAACTAATCTAAAGCCATGTTTTATATATGAACTGTGTGCATTTGGTACTATCAGCCAGTTAGTAACATTCTGTGGATAATTTTCCCGTATTTCATAATTTAGAAGAAGCGGCATTTGATTTGTGGATATTGTTATTGATGACATAGCTCAGAAACTAAGTGTACATACTGGTCTTGAAGAGCTACATAGCCTTAAATACACGTTATTTGTCCCACGTCATAGATTGGTTTTGTGTGCAAGTGCAGTGGGATTGGATGTTTGAGGGGATTTATTTATCGGGGGGGGACAGGGCTGGCAAGCATAATAGTAAGTGCAGGTGCACAGTAGGCTCCTCGGTAAATAGAAGTTAGGTATATTGGGGTTTGACTCTTAAATTTTTCAAGTATCCAAATTCTCTAAGAACTTTGCAGCCAAAGAAAAACCTAGTGCCAGCAGGTAAGCAAACAGTGACAGTGTATCACCTATACATACGTTCTATAAGCAGCTTTATGGTGACTTACAGGCTGTGTAAAAGGGCTTTTAAGAGGCTGTAAATGGAAATGATTGTAAATTACATGCATTCATTTTCAAGTATACAGTGAAAACCAGGACTACAGTGTAGTTCCAGGGCAACTAATATTTTACACTACAAAAGTAATCAAATTTGCTAAGAGCTTCCCATATTTCAGTTGCATTTTATTCACTGGCACTACTTGGGACTTGCAGAGATGAGAAAATAGCTCCCACAGTGCCTGTGTGGAGTTGCATAACACAGTGGTGGGAAGTACACCTGAGGTGTGTGGGTCCTTTGAACTCCCAGCACTCCCATACCCCTGCAGCAAAGCATCCAGCGGAGCCAAAATGGGGAGGGTTGAAAATCCTCTTTTCCGGTGTCCTTTCCTGAAGTTGTAACAGCCACAACAAGGTCAGCTTTTTCTGGTTTCTTTCTTTCTTAAATCCTGCTGATTCTTCATCCTGTTAAATTATAACAGGTGCATGAGTGTTCTCTGACCCCAAATCTACTCTAGCATAGCTGAAAAGAAAGCTAAAAGCTGAGGACAGGCTGGTTTTCTTTCTAACAAAATTAAATCTGGCTTGAAATCCGGCTGTGTTTCACTAACAGCAGAGAGCTTTTCTAGTTATTTTCTCATGGAGATCAGTAGACAGTAGACAAATTCTACCATTCCACAGTGGTGCAGGACTGTTCTAGCTCCTACGATGCCGCTGAAGTTGCTTATTTCAGTTGTATCCTAGTGCAAGGGAAGGTAGAATTTGTCCTTTTTGAGTTTAACTGCTGAAAGACGGTCATGTATGAGTTCTAGCCAGACCAACACTGATGCACCCATACATATCTTGGCTGCTCCCCAATAATGTTATTTAGTCTCCCGGAAAAATATCATTACCTACTAAAGATTGTTGTCTTAGTAGGTAAGAATGGTTCGACAAATGATTGGAGGCTTTCCTACAAATCTCTAAATGGTATTTTAGGGAATTTACATTTACTGATTTAAAAATAAGAATTCCAGGGGGAAAAAAGGGTAGGTGAGTTCTTGTGGTCATCCTCAGTGTCCACCTGTCTGCCAAGACTTTCATGGTCTCTAAGATTCTCACCTATAGACACATCTTTGTAACAATTGTTTATTTACAAGTGGACTCTCTCCACCGAAATACAGTGTGCTTTTGATCATACATACATTCAAAGCTCTGATGTGCCTGCTTCTGTTTAGCTGTGTAATTAAATGCATGCTTAGCTCTAAGCATACACTTCAGCTCTGTTGACAGGAGTCCTATTAATTGAAGTCCCATTGATTTAGGAATCACCTGAAAGTTCAGCGTGTGCTTTGGTGATCTGCTGAGAAAGGATGAATTTAAGAAAAGCTACTTACACACTTTGCTGGTGGAAATCTAAACAGTGGACTTCTGCAGCAGGCAGATTAAGAGTTCAGAGAGAAACTTATGAAAGTGTTATGAATAACAGTGTGCAAAATTCTTATTGCCACTAACACACAGGAGATCTCCCTCATTCCTTCTAAAGCACTTGGCCCTGGATAGACTGCTACATGTGCCCCTGCAACATGTTTTTGCTTTCCATTTGCTAGCATTAGCCTTGCTGTTTCCCCACATGCTACAAGTTGAGTACAGTGGACACACAGATGGGGAGAGCTTCAAAATCAGTGTTGTGGCACAAGCACTGTACATGCCTGATTTAAGATCTGCACAAATTCCACTTCTGTTCTTAAACCAGATGTCATTTTTGTCAGTGTTGTCTCCTTAGAAATGGGAATTTGGAACTATCACCTGAGACAATATTTGCACCTCCTGTTTATAAACCTCTCGGTTCATATATTTCCATTTACTGCTGGAAAAGTAAGCGGGGAGGAAGCAGAACACCAGGCTGTTCAGAGTGGGATTTTTTATTTCTCTTTCAAGTCAGTTAGAGTATCCTTCCTTCCACCTCCTGCTCACTTCTCCCAAGATCTTTGAACTCGAAGCGCTACTTAAATTTCTCTGCTTATTTTCATACTGACAAATAAAACTTGAGCTGCCAAAAATGTACTCTTTCAACCTTTGGGATTTCCTATGCTTGGGACTTGTGCTGAAATAGCAAGTGGAGGTCCCCCAGGGAATAACTCGGCTCTTTAAAGCTACTGGAAGCTGAAACAGGTGCATGGGCTTTCCCCTGTAAGCTATCCTGATAAGATGAAAGAAAAATTATACATGCTCAGAACAGACAGGTATCTTGACAGTCCTCTGCTAATAGTTTAAGGATTTGTCATTTGATTCAAGGAAAACAATTTTGTTGATTTATCCTTTTTTCTTCTCCCCTTTCCCCACCCCCCTAATTTTGCTTTTAAAGAAAATCTCAGTGTGGGAGGAAAAATTCCAAACAGTAGCATGAAACATAAAAGCCAACTGCTAAAATAAATATCTTGCTAAGTCTTATCTCCATGCTGAACCTACACATCTTGTTCCTCTGTCTGCTGTAACCACATGTTAACTCCTCACTAGCTGCATTTATCACTAAATTCTTCCTTTTCTTTTTTCCGTGCACTAGTCATGCCACATCTTGTCAAATTGAAACAAGACAAATGCTACATGAAGTACATCTTGCCGATAAGAGACACATTATTTTCCATGGCCTGGAAAAAAACAATGGTGACATTTTAATGCTAGAATCTGAAAAGTCTCTTGTTGTACCCATTCATTACAGTGTCAGTCCAAGTAACATCACTATGAATGTAGCAATTCTAACCATCCTAAAGAATGGCCATTCTGAAATATGACTTTATGAAAAAGATAATAAAATGCACTTACTGCCCACCTTTGATTCAGAATCCTAAGAGTCCATTTCAGAATTCACCTTTTTATGGCCTTGCACAATACTTGAATCTGGGGATTTGGTTTATTGTTTTAATTCTCTGCAGCTGAATGTAACTACCTGTTATATATGTTCACTAGAGCAGTACAGGTCAGTTCATAAAAATGAAAGTTATAGTGCAGTACATAAGCTGGATTACTCTTTTAAACAGGATGATGAAATATGATCATCCCTTTCACTCCCTGTTGGTTTCTGGGAGAAGTTAACTCTGTGTTGGGCTTTTCAGTGTGAGTGTTCATGATGCTGCCATCTGAGAGAGACACACACAATATCTCAGCCTTGGGGGAGCCCACAGTAGGTCAGATGTTTGGGGTCCTCCCTTTGGCAAGGGCAAATTTCATTCTGACTACACAATGAAGATGTGCTCCTGCATATGTTTCACAGATGGGCTGTTCTGTTAAACTGTTTGCAGCTGCTAGTATATATCTTGAGACACTGGAGATCAAGCAAGAATGCAAATCTATGGCCAACATAGCACATCGCTCTTTGGAAATGTGTTGAATGAAAGGGGCTGGGTAGGTACCAGTGCAGCATCCCTGAGCCAGCTGTAAGAGGCACCCTAATCTTCCCAGAGTCTGTGCAGAAAGCATTCCCTGGGATCCTTGCCCACAACCAAAGAGGAAAGGATCCCTTTTATTAGTGACTCAAATATACAAATTAGAAGCCTACCAGCAATCTGCTTGGAGAAGAACAATTAAAGGAAGAGAGCCCAGCATATGAAAGTTCCTAAATTATTTTTAATTTCTTTCAGAATGAGCTTGTACTCAGCTTCTTCCTGAATTGGTGCAAAAATACTGTGGCAGAAGGTTCGTCATCTGTGGCTTTGGGTATGTGGATTAACAATCCTAACTGTTTTCTAAGAACTTATTTAATAATATTAAATATAATAATGCGAAGGTGAGGCTAAAGTGCTGAGGTGGCTTTTTTCTGAAGATACAAAGATACCTTTAATTCCAGGTTACTCAAGGTGTCTGTAAATGTGTTAGTACTGTGACCTATGGTTTTCTTTTACTTTGACATATTCTCTTCAGTGTTTCTTCATTTCTTTTTGAATAAGTGTACCTTTTTTGCAAAGTAAAAGTTTATTTGCACAAACTAGGGTAGGTTTTTTGTTTTACTAAACAAAATCTTTAGAGAAGAATCTGGAGGAACGGATCTGACTCTTGACAAAGCACAATGTGTACTTGGACAAGTGGAGAAAATTAGGGATGACTTCTAAAGTAATTTTCACAATGAGTGGAGCAGGTGAATAACAGAACATTATGTTAATGCTTAGGCATACATTATTAATGATAGTGGTAATTCACTTCTTACTAAATGAGATTCTACATTGTTCCCTTAGCCTATCTAAATACTTAACCCTTTTCCTTCTTCTATCCAGCTCCTAATTCTGTCTAATCTCCAACATTACAGTATTAAAAGCCAAAGCATAAACCATAAAATGTAAACCATGAATGTTTATTGTCTTCCACTGCACTGAAATATTTTTCATAGTTGGTTTTTAGGCAAAATTAAATCTCATAGAGAAGCCTGCAGCTGCACTCTGCACCACAACAGTTCAGCTGGTTGTTATGCATTCCAAGTGATAGGACAGTTTCCAAGATCACTGGTTATCCACATTACAGAAAGAAGTGCATATTTAGTTTGCATGTCCATTAAGTTAATTTAATCTCTCTGCAGACAGAGGCTTCATTATCTCTTTTGCTGGGACCATTTTTTTTTAATCCATCAGAAGAAGATAAATCCCATCCTGGCTTCTCAGCTTTTGGAAGATTCCCCCTGTGTAGAGTTTATTTGATTAGGTCATGCCATTATCATATTAAATCCAGTATGACTATTGGAAATTACTAATGGTTGCTCTAACTTTTACAAAGGAATGAGGAGGTAATGCAAAGATGTCTTAGGTGTTAGGAATATAAAAGGCTAAATCTGGTCACAGGAAATCCAAACCAGAATTCTAATGTAACATCTAGTCTGGGTCCATGGGCTGCCTCTCTCTGTGGACTCTTTAACAAAAGATGCAGACATGTGAGAGTGAGCTGAGAAATAAAGAACTTAAAGTCCCTCATCTTTAGAAGAATGTTGGCATTTCAGTAATAGTTAGGTGCTTAATTATTACAGACAATCTGAGTGTAAAAGTCATGCAAAAGCATGAACTAAGTTTGTAAGGAAGGTAAGAAATAAATTACAGTCTCATAATTCCTACACTGATGTGGTGTCCTGAGCCAATACAGTTTGAAGGATAAACTCTCTATTTTTGTGGTCAATGATATCAAAATCAGAAAAAAAGCTTAAAGAAAGAGAGGTAAGAATGTGTTTACTGGGTGTTTGATGAAAGCTATGTGACTGGTAACCCAATCTGCTGGGTCTCTATACAGTTAGTGAAGGTGAAGGTCACAACCTGTTCGGGGGAGATTAATGTGTCTCTGTCCTCAAGAAGTGTGGTTACAGAGGGATTATTTTTTCCTACTCAGGAACTCTGCCTTTTAAAGCTTGGACACTACAGACTCAGGGTGAAACCTTTGTTTAAGACAGCAGAAAAATGTTTAAAATACAGCCATAAAACCCACATCTTTTTGACCTAGAAGCTTCATTGCTATCACTTATTGATAGAATACTGGTAGCACTCAAGGTTCAAATCAGGCCTTAGTGAGTTTTGACTCTGGAAAAATAGAAAAAGAATAATGGGCTGAGTTTCTCTGGGTATAGCACCACGTGTGGTGAGAGAGGAAGCTCATGCACCTGTCGACAGCCAACAGCAGTGAACTGTGGAGCAGGTGAGCTTAGCTGTAAATGAGCTTGCTCAGCTGTCAGAGGAAGACCAGCCACCCAGGTGCTAATTACACACCTGAAACTTTATTTTCGTACAGGTTAGTCTATGCTTCACCCCTTGCTGTTGGGGATGGGTTGTGGCCATATCCCAGCTAGCTTACATCCATCTGTGCTGCATGGCATTCTGTACCTTACTATCATCCATCCTGGGAGAAGATATAAGCCCAGCTAAGACAGGAGTTAGCTGATTATGCATAGTTGCCAAGTAGCAAACGAGGAATTGCTGGGAAGACCATGGTAGCCCCAGAGACTCTTGTCTGTTGACGGATCCCTGAAGCACTGTTGATTTGAAGGTAAGCTCTGTGGTAGTGCCATAGTCAATCCAGGGCAGGAATTAAGTTCACTGAGCCTTCAGGAGAGGGGCAATTCCCGTGAAAGAATACATCCTCCCCACACACACACAGAGCTTTCATTGCTGTATCGGCCTTAATTTTTTGCCTGTTTTGAAGAACAACTCAGGTTTAATATGACCTGCAGCTTTCCATGAAGCTGGTGATTTGTCTCTCAGCTTTTACACAAGTAAATCACCAATCACTTAGTTAGGATCAATATAAAATAAAATTAATGCCCAATAGAAGCATGTTATGAATTTTGATCAGGACAGCATCTCTCTCTTACGCTGTTTTAATTTACAAATGTTGTAGGTAATTATACTTACTAAACTAAAATAGAAATTAAAATTTATGAATTTGTACTGTGCCCCTAGCAATGAAGAGATTAAAAATCAGTGCTAAATTTACTTTGACATGAATACTGATTCAGAACTCCCAGTGGGGTGAATTCTGAATTATACTGAATATTGTCAGCATGTCATTATACCAAGCTCACTACAAGGCAGTGAAAGCAGATATCAGGAATGATTTCACAGACAGCCTTTTATAAAGAAACTTTAAAAAAGGAAAAGAGAAAATCTATAAAAATATTTTTTATGTCACTCTGAATTATTTTTTCTTCTCTTGAGATTATATCTCACAAAAATATTAAAATTTCAGACCGTTTTACCAAAGTTATGAAATCACAAAGTCTTTGTTACTGGTAATAACAGTGCACAAACCAGATTAAATTCTGGCATGTTTATTTAGTTCACCACTCATTTCAAGGGCTGGTCTCTATTTAGTGTAGTAGAAAAACTGTCTCTGTGTCCTTCTAAAGGAATACCCAAGCTTTCCTAAAAGAAAATTATATGAAACACCTCTCCATGCAGAAACACAGACTTCATGAATGGTCCCTCAGGAGAGTTGGCTGTTCTGCTTGTGTGACATAGTATTTTTATCTCCTGCAGTTTTTCCTTCTTGATGTAGGGTTTTTGCTAGGAATTGCTTTTCTACTTTAGTTGCATTTAAGCTGTTTTGCTGGCCATAAGCACCTCTTGTTGGCTTTTGGGATGAAAACAGTGAGATAGCCGGTTAATGTATTTACAGTTGAGTATCTGAAGCTGGGTACATTGGAGGATCATACACCAAATCTGTAGCTAAAGCAGGCAACTGGTTGGCTTGGGATATTCAACTCTGGACCTGGAAAACCAAGCTGGTTCCAGTACCTTTTGGTGCCAGGTGTTAAAACAGGCTGTCACAAATAAGAACGGTCTAAGATAAATCCAAAGGCCCAGAATAAAGAATACTTTGCTAACAGGAGGCCTGTGACAGTTAATAAGTACTTTCATGTTGCTTTGCAGTCTATATGTGAAATGCAAGCTATTATTCAATTAGAGTTTCCTCATTGATTTTCTCAGTCTTCTGTGTAACATCTTTCTCACAGGTTATATTTCTCATGCATTGTGCAAAACGTAATGCAGAGCTTGTTTTTAAGTGCTGCTGATGGAAACATTGCACAAGTTATAGAATAGAGAGCTGGTAGATCTCCAACAAGCTAGAAATGACCATCTAGATAAAGAAAATAACTGCATACCTGACTAGTCTGAAGATCATTCCACCTTCAGTAGAAATTTGAACAGTAACTGCTTTAATTTTGTCATTCAGAAGAAGAAAGGACCCACAGTTTTCTAGTGTTTGGTTCCTTGATAAAAGAGATTATAAACTGGAGTGATGTTTCAGTTTTTCTGCACTAGTGTTTGGTGGCTCACCTGCTGCTGCAGAGTGCCGGGACACACAAACACAAGTCACCTAGAAAAACACTACCAGCACCATTCTTTGTGGGGGCAGCCAAACTCCAGGGTTCTTGTTTGATCTGTGACAGCTTTTGCATTGACACCAGGGAGTGAGGAATCAATCCCTTGGAGGGAGATCTTCCTTCAGCTGAAGCCAGTGGAGCTTTGTCCTGTATCTACAACAGAGCAGCACTTGGTCTTTGCCTAAAATAGAGTGCAAGTAGGGCGTGACAGTTCCTAGAAATGCGGAGCCTGAGCTCAAGTCCATCTGCCCAAGCTGGATAAACTAGAAGTAGTTACTGTATGTGTATTTTATTATCATTTGAAGCTAAAATTACCTAGACTTCAAAGAGACTACGATTTAGCCTTGAATGTGAGAAAACCTAAAATATAACAGCTGAGTTTAGCTAACAGTAACTGTCTTTTATGGTAAAATATAAGTGATAGAAGTTTCTCCTGCTTTCATCAGATTCCCTGCACTCTTATTTTTTTTCCTTTACCTTCCTTTTATTTATTTTTTTAAAAAAACTTTTTTTTTGCCATTAGTGCTCAATTTATTACATAGCAAGAGCAAGTATTTTAGTAATAACTGTGACCATAGTGTCTGTTTCAGACTTCATTTTACATACTCCATTAGAAATGCTTTTTCCCCTCCTATGTTTTTCATTATTTTCAGCTTGGTTAGAAACTTATTTACATTTATTTATTTTTTTATAAATTAAACTGCCAACTCCCATAGAGAAAGTCCTTTACTCGATATAAGCACTTGCATTACAAAACTGAAGTAATGCAGATAAAAGCCCTGATAGCACTGGTATAAGGAAAAAGGCACAGTGTTTAGCTGAATTCTAGTGATTAAAAGAGCTCCAGAAGTAAATTGTGCCCTCATATTAAAACACAATTCCCCTTCTGTTGCACTGTCTTTAATGCTATAGGATTCTACCTTCCCTGCTGCAACTTAAAGGAAAAAGACCTCATGACTTTAAAAAATATGGTAAAATGGCTTTGCTTGGTGAGGGAAAGAATCAATTTTTGTGGGCTTTTTGTTACTCTGGAAAAAAACTCAGCATTGTCTGGCTAATGGAGTTTTCATCCTCTATTCCTCCCTGTCCTTATTTGCATAAAAGAAATGAAATAAGGTATAGTCTGGCTAAGTGATTTGTCAAAGTTCATAAAAGAGAATGTCAAATGGAGAATCTTCCTAGTCCCAGCTTAGTGATTTCTTCATAAGTTTTCAATTCTTCAGGAGTCTGTTTCAGACCTTTCTCTAATTAGGCTGTGATAAAAAAAAAATGTGTTTCTGTAGTCTGTAAAGGCAAGAAATTGGAGTTCTATTTGTATTCTAAAATTCAAGTCCAAACATCAGAAAATGAGAAGTGTTGATATCCAGGCTGCCTGGAAAAATTGGATTATGGCACTTGTATGTACACACAGTGTTATTTTTAATTTGTTTGAATTTCTTTCCTTAGGATAAATGGCATTTGCACTAGCTCTCTGGCTGTCAATAGTACATAACACCACTGTAATTCTATCTGCTTAGTGGTTATTTTAGCCTCTGTTCACTCCAGAGGCTACACACTTAGTTTCTTCAGAAAAATACAACCAACATGGCTTATTCATTATAACTTCCCCTCTGTTGCTTCCTCTGCTGAGTAATGGAGTAAAGGCTGAGGAGGAGGGAGTTTGATTTCTTGCTCTTACAACCTTGGCTATGACAGCTCTGGTACACAAGTGGAAAAGAGGGAATAAGAGCATGACAGAGAGTGAACAGGTGTCTCCTGAGGCTGAAAGGAAGATGTGGGAATCCTGCCTGCTATTGAGGATTAATAGTCCTGATACTCTCTAAAAAGCCTCCTCTTGCTACTGTGTAACCTTTGCATGTGATGGTAGCTCTTTCATTCTCATCATCCTTTCTCATTCAAAGAATTAATTGTGACTATATTGTTTTGTCTCATGTCATTATCTCACCCTGCTGTAAACTTAAGGCTGGCATGTTGGTGGCAGATCCCAAGGCAGCTGCAGGGCAGCAGGAATTTTCTGTCTGAGATCTCAAGATCAGCTACATCTTTAACAGGGAGGTGGGCAGAACAGAGCCCAGCTCATGAGAGGTCCCTATTCTGTCATAGGTTGGCAGGGCACATTTTTTTCAAGTATACTGAATATGTCGTACTGGTTGGAAGACAGCTTTGGTCTAATTAAATGAAGCCCTGATTGCAGGGCTAGTTCACACAGGTAGTGTCTAGACTGTGATGATGACCATATGGGGAGAACCCTGAGTCTCAGGCCAAGTGGAGCAAAATGGCTCATATCAACCCAGCTCTGGCTTAACACTGCAGAATAAGAAGGTCAGATAGATATCAAGGAGATGTTACTGTGTTCATCATTGCCTGTGGTAAAAGCCATCTGTATCTTCTCCTCTGTCTATGTGGGACAGGTAAACCACATTCCTTACCCAGCTTCAAGGACACACCTTTTTGGCAGCAAAGATAGCTCTCTCAATGCCTCCAGCAGAAAGCAGAAAGAAGGAACAAGATATGCTTAGTCATTTCTTCCACATTATGAGACTGCTCCTTCTCACTTGGAAGCTGAAAAATGCTTTTTTCAGTGGGAACAGACTCAAACTCTCTAAATGTATTTTAGCAGAAAAATCTATTAAAGCCGTGGGTTGCATGAAAACCAGCCTGGAACAGGAAAAACAGAGAATGAGAAAGGGAGAATTTACATATGATAGATATAGATGTTGTTTCTGTAACATTTGCTTTGGAACTGGTCTTGAAACTTGCTCTTTTTTTTTCTTTTTTCTTTTTATTTCTGTGGGGAACTAAAGAAGAAAGAAAATACAGTGTTTTTAACCACACAGAAGAATTGCAACAATACTGACTAGTGTCATCAATGATTGCAGAAAAACCCCCACAAAGCAAACCCAAACCCCTCCAATTATTTGTTGCTTAAGCATAACTCTCCCACTGAAATTTAGATTAATGGCAATTAGAAAATGAAAAATCTCACTGTCAGTGTATAAAAATTGAGCACTGCATGTCAGACCACTTCCTTCCATCACACTCCTTATGCCTATTTTCTAATTTAATCTATTTTAAGCACACAATATATTCTTTTTGTATATTATTTCATGTAGTTTGCAGAGTTTTACAGACATACTTCTGCTGAACTTTTAACTAAAAAAGTCAATTATCTGCCCTTTTTTAGGTCCTCAATCAACTGATCATAAGCCTGGGGTACAATTAATCATATCCTATGAGAACACCCGCCTGACAATAATGTTAAAACACATGAAGAACATTGTGAGTATTTTTATCATAATCTATAACTCATAAATCCTTGCATTTGCAGAGTACTGTGAAAACATTAATCCTCAAACACCCTTTCCTGGATAACTAATTTTAACTCAAAATAATGACAATGCTGTTCTGTCATCATTTAAGACTTGCTTTTTTCTTTCAAGCTCACTTAATATGGTTACATGCATGGGCAGATACAGATGCTGGGCTTCCTTAATAGCTAGTAACAGCCTTTTTCAGGTGGATTGAGAGCTGCTTGAGTGACAGAGCTCACAGGGTTGTGAGCAATGCTGCAGAGTTGCGATGGAGGCCTGTTCCCCAGGGGTCAGTACTGGGTCCAGTCTTGATCAACAGATTTGTCGGTGATCTCAATGAGGGGATAGAGTGTATCCCCAGCAAGCTCACTGATGATACCAAACTGGGAGGGGTGGCTGACACTCCAGAGGGCTGTGCTGCCATCCAGTGTGACCTGGACAGGCTAGAGAGCTGGGCAGAGGAACCTTATGAGCTTCAACAAGGGCAAATGTAAGGTGCTACACCTTGGGATGAACTACCCCACCCATGCATCAGTATAGGTTAGGGATTGACCTGCTGGAAAGCAGCCATGAGGAGAAGGATTTTGGAGTCCTGGTAGACAGTAAGTTAACCAAGAAGGCCAGTGATATCCTGGGATGCATTGGGATCCCAGGGAGGTCATCCTCCCCCTCTGTTCCACTCTAGAGAGGCCACATCTGGAACACTGTGTCAAATTCTAGGCTCCCCATTTCAAAAGAGACAGGGAACTACTGAAGAGAGACTAGCAGAGGGCAACAAAGATGACTGGGGGGCTGGAGCATCTCTCTTATAAAGAAAGGTTGAGAGACCTGAGACTGTTTAGCCTGGAGAGAAGAAGACTGGGAGGAGACCTTACCAATACCTATAAATACCTGAAGGGTGGGTGCAGGGAGGATGGAGCCAGACTCTTTTGATTAGTGCCCAGTGACAGAACAAAGGGCAATGTGTACAAGCTAGAACATAGGAAGTTCCATCTAAATACAAGGAAAAACTTCTTTATGATGAGGGTGACAGAGCACTGGAACAGGCTGCCCAGAGACACTGTGAGGTCTCCTTCTCTGGTGATATTCAGAACCTGCCTGGATGTAGCCCCGTGTAATGTGCTCTAGGCAATCCTGCTTTAGCAGAGGGGTTGGACTTGATGATCTCTAAAGGTCCCTTCCAACCCTGACAATTCTGTTATTCTGTATAGAAGACCAATTTTGATGACCACTTTAGCCCTTTCAGCTGGTGTATTTTGATACCAGTCAGACATAAAACATCAGGTGGCCCAGAAGGCCAATGGCATCCTGGCTTGTATCAGGTGTAGTGTGGCCAGCAGGAGCAGGGATGTAATTCTTCCCCTGTACTGTTGAGACCTCACCTCAAGTACTGTGTGCAGTTCTGGGGCCCTCACTTCAAGAGGATATTGAGGTGCTTGAGCAGGTCCAGAGGAGAGCAATGAGGCTGGTGAAGGGAAAAGAGGGAAAGTCTTATGAGGAGAGGCTGAGAGAGCTGGGGTTGTTTAGCCTGGAGAAGCGGAGACTCAGAGGGGACCTCATCACTCTCTACAGCTACCTGAAGGGAGGTTGTAGTCAGGTGAGGGCTGGGGTCTTCTCCCAGGTAACTAGTGACAAGATGAGAGGGTGCAGCCTGAAGCTGAGTCAGGGGATGTTGAAGTTGGATATTAGGAAGTACTTCCTCATGGAGTGGGGGATTAGACATTTGAATGAACTGCGCAGGGAAGTGGTGGAGTCACAATCCCTGGAGGTGTTTAAGGAAAGACTGGATGTGACACTTAGTGCCATGGTCTAGCTGATGTGGTGGTGTTAGGTCATAGGTTGGACTTGATGATCTCAGAGGTCTTTTCCAGCCTCAATAATTCTGTGATTCTGTGATCATGCAGCAGCATGACTATTTATAGGATGTCAGCTTGGTGTAATTGATTGATTATGCATACATTGCTTTCAAGTCTGGCATGACTGGTCTATGAAGAGGGAAGAGCTCAGCAGTGGTGTATTTTGAGAAGCAATGTCATTTGGTGGGGTGATGCTCAGCTTTGCAATATGGTGTCTGTCTTGAGGCTAAGGGTAAATGCTGTGTGTTCCTGGAAATGCACTATGAGAGGGAGAAGCTGGCAGCCTTCTGGCAGCATGAGACATGTGAAATTGGCTGATGAAGAGGGTCTTGAGACATCTACCTGGTGCCATGTGTGGTCTCTCCGCTGAAGAAGCATGTCTACTGTTTCATAATTAGTTTGGGCACCTAGATGTCGTCAATTCCCAGTTGCTCAAGTCTCAAGTAATGGCTGTGGCAAAGAGATCCTTCACTATGTTTGTTTAGTTAGAGGATTAGAACATTTATTAACTGTTGTGGGTTCTCATTGCTACCTGGTGCCATACACTGATGTCACCTTCATTCCAAACTGAATTGCAGTCTCTTTTCCTAAATGGGACCAGACTGAGGAGGTTATGTGAGCACCAGTCAGTAATAAAATGTGACTGAATGTTTAATTAGTTCTATGAGACACAGGACCCTTATGTAGCTCCTACTATTCTCTTTTGACTGCTCTGGTTTCTAGTTTGCAGTTCAAGCATGTTCATTTTGGTCTATAAAATCCAATATGTCTCTGTCCTGAGAGACTTGTCTTGTGTTTCCTGTATGCCACCTTGACAGGTGCCATCAGCCTTGGCTGACAGGTCCAATTTATATGAACTTTACCTTCAGGGAACAGTACAAGATCCTTCTGTTGTGTTTTTTAAAACTAAGTGACTTTGATAAACTTCTGTTAAAGTTCTAGTAGGCGGGAGGGGTGTATATGTAAGTGGTTGCCATGTTTCCATCATTTTAAGCATATAGGCTCCAAACTGTGTTCTTTGACTTATAAAGTTCCATCCATTTAATTAAGTGAAAATAAATTACAGCACAGATGGCTGTGTATAGCAAACATAAAGTTGAGGGTTCAGTTCACTTCATTGTGGAGAGGAAAGTATACGACTTCAGGTTATTTACTAGCTTTTGAAAGTAAGTAATTTAAATCCATTTTAGTGAGTTTGCAGAGAAGTGGTAGGAATCCAATTCAGTAAGACTAGAAATGATTCATGACTTGAGAATAAGGTCATTGTTTCAGCAGCCTAGCTTAGCCAATCATGTTTTGAATCCTGGGCTTCTGATTCCTTCCTTCCATCCAGCCATTCATCCATTGTCATCTGATCTGAAATATGAAATAGTAGTGCTTCAGGGTACTGTGACACTAGCCTGCCTTCAGACTACTAACCTATAACAGGAAGATTCTATATCCCATTAGTAATCTTCTCAGCTTTTCAGTCATACAGATCAATCTCTGACATGCTCTCTTTTCTTTTTCCTTTCTCCCCTTTTTTTTTTTTTAAAGGATTTTAGACATATGCCAAGATCATATCTTATTCAGAACATATTAAAGCTATTTCAGGTATATTCAGTCTTTTACAGTCTCACTAATTACATTTTAGTGGTTCATCTGTGCAGAGATTATTTTGCTATCTTGTTTTTATTATTTCTAATTTATATCTAATATTATTTCATAGTTTATAGTAAACAATTTTTGTGCTACTCTTAATTTATCTCTTTATAGAGATTTTATGATGTGTTCAGATGTGAAGATAATTGCAGTGGTCCAAATTAATCCCAAATATAGCTTTACAGAACTGACAAAAATTGCGACAGAAACTTTTAATCCATGTAAATTTTATTTAGCATTTGTGTAGGTTTACCTCTTGGGGTTTTAATAGGAGATCTAGATCCTGCTGTGCTAATCCTACATTACTATACAATGCACAAGAGAGTCCCTGAAGAGCTGATGTTTATAGCCCCTGTCAAGTGTCACATAGGTTCTTTAAAGGAGGAAGTCAAAAGACTGCACAGCTGTAGCTTTGCAGGACTTCTTGAAGCTAACCCCATGCCTGGGAGATGTCATAGACAGAAACTGTGATAACACTGGAGACAGCACTGCTCTGGGGCAGACCTGCCAGAGGACTGTCTAATGTGGGTGCATGTGTGGGCTCCGCAGTGCAGGCACTTTTGATCTGATGCATCCGTTTATGCCAGATTGGCTGCAGGTGTACAAGTCAGTCATGCCTAGATCTGCTTCAGAAAGTCTTGTCCCTTGCCACTGTCATGTTTATGTCACGTTATGAAAGCCAGTCCTGCTTGAAGAAAACTCTTATAAAAAAATTCTTCAAAGACTAACAGCCTTATAGATTTTGTGGCAGGAAAGGACCATTAATCTAATCTAACCTCCTCTAAAGCACAAGCTATATCTTTTTCACTGAGAAAATACTTGCATTTAGACCAGCAATGCAGCCAAAGAAACTGAACAGAAAGAGGTTAAGACTGGTTGCAAATGTTACTCTGTGGTTTAAGACTGTGGATCCACAATGAAGATTTCTGCCAATTAGATATTTATAAGATACTTACAGGGTTTTGGTCTCAAGGTTTTCCTCAGCAATTTATAGTTTTATTGGAATACTCAGATTCTGTAAGTCAGGTGATTCATGTCAGACTTGCTGCTTCTGCTTCTGCTTTGAATGGCACTGCTGAGGAAAAAAAAAAAAAAAAAGTCCAATTCTTAAACAAAGAAAATCCATGATGCTTATAAAATGCAATTTTCCAGATGCGTATTTTACGTAATTTTGTCAGCCTCTTGCAGCATTACTTGCTCCACTCAAATGCAGACAGTGCAACACTGGGCACTTTAAGGATAGGTAGTACAGGCAATATTGCCTTCATACAACAAAGCTCGGCTAGAAGGAAACCTCTGTGTAGAGGTGAAAACTGCAGAGGTTATATGGAGGAACGAGGAGAGTTTGCCTGTGGAGTCAGAGGATGTGGCAGCTGGAGGGGATGAGGTAGGGCAGGCTGCTTCTACAAGCACAGTAGCAAAGTACCTGACAAAGTGCACTAAGTGGTCTTAGGAAGAATATTCAGGAGCC